ACGCAAATATTTGTCCAGTTAGCAGATGTACAGACAAGGAGGTAGGCCATTCGAGCTGCAAATGAGCAATAAAATGCGATGAATCGCCCTTGAATAAAGAGGCGAGCCAAGCTCCATACATATTATACGTATTGATTGATTTGCCCACCTGAAGTCGCGCCAGAGGAAACACCGCGCGGTCGCACGACGGTGCTCGATCAAACGACGTGTCTCCGATTGAGCGGATGTTTCCGTGGGTGTCGATTACACGCAAACGACGTCCATCAGACACTGAACACATCAGTATCGATCAATATTTCAGACTTTATGTAGGAATAGCATTAGTAAAAGTAGAATCGCTCGCTGCGTAACAGGCTTGACTGAGTTATAGGGGTGTGAACTGGGAGATCGATGTTGCTGCTACGTATTATTGTTGTACATTTCATATCCCGTAGTTCGAGAGGGCGTGGCTGCGTACCCCAGCCGTATGCAGCGGCGGCTGCGCTTTTGGTGGGACACTGCCGTTTTGACATGACTGTAATTCATTTCTTCGTAACGCATCCTGTTCGAGTGATGTAGGCAGCCACGCCCTCCCCATCTCCAGGATATGGAGTGTCAGTGCTGTCATCGCGCGGCATTCGCCCAGGACCTATTTTATACAATAAGGAATTAGTGACGGTACGTAGAGTAGAGGTTAGAGCATTTATTCCCACTCGCGGTATCGCGGCAGAGACGCAGAGTATTTCATAGCTAGTGGGCTAGACAGACACAGAGAGGCAGCTCTTTTAGCCAGACCGCACAGACGTAGAGAGTTGAAGAGTTAGACGCGCGCCGCAGCACTGCTGCGTTGAGTGGATTGGGTCCCGGTGCGAATGCAGCGTACGTCACACCGCTTGCACTGCCTACTTTAACGCACTCGTCACGACTGGGAATTCGCCCCGACGAGTAGCAGGCTCATGAGTGCGCGAACAGTCGCAAAAAGGGTCTCCTAACCGACACCCTGAGCCTTAAATCGCGCATGAAATAGTTCCTGATAGCAACTTACCGTATAAATTTCCATGAGCATCATACGCAAGACCTTTTGGGAAGAATAACTGGGCATCTGTGGCTGGTCCACCGTCACCACATGAATCGGCTGCTGCCGGACATGCTGTTCCGTCTCCAGCCAATACCTGCAACGAGTTTTCGCGTTCATTAGGGGGGTCTAAAAGTTGCACCCGGAGCAAGTCCTACCAAATAAGATAGTACCTCCATGGTTCTCGCTGTGGATCAATTGCTCACAATGGCTGCGATTCTCCAAATCTGTCTGGAACTCCGCGGCATACATGTGATACCACTAGGAATCCATCTATGGACTGATCGGGCCAGATTAGTAGGGCATAAGATTGTCACCATCTCATGTGAGTTGCATTGGGAAGGCTAAAATCAATGGCCCCAGATTCAATATTTCTGATACGAGGGAGTGATTTACTCTCTTAGTGAGCACAGATACAAGGAGACAATCGGCGCCGAATAGGCGAGATCCGGGAGTGGAGAAAGAAGTGTGAGGAATCAAAGACCCTCCACATGGTCTTTTCTCCTCTCGCCAGTCTCCCTCTGCACCAAGGTTCCTTTTTGGTCAAATAAGTTAACCTCGGATTCAGCTCTCGGCACCAATAGCGTCTTTGGGCAACATATCTTAGCAAGAACAATGATTAAGAGACTCCGCCCTTCCACCGCCCTTATGATTGTCGCACACTATTTTCTTGAGTGTGCACAAAAATCATAAAAAATGAACTGTTTTGCAGACCTCAGCGATAGCACCGTGGTGATTTGTCCTTCTGGGCCAATACGTCTCACTAGATTGTGATCACCAATGAAGACACTTCCATCGAGGCCATGAGCAAGCGTCGTTGGACGAAACAGGCTCGCCTAAAACACGCACACCTTAGCAGTAGCACAAGTCCTTCATAGGCTGCTCTTCAGGCCATAAAAGTATCGGCAGAAAATAAGCTGAAGGTCTAGATTGTCAGAAATCGGAACACTTCTAGACTAGACAACCCTTAAAGGCACATTCCGCGATAATCGGATGGGCGGAGATACACTACCGTTGAGGTGCTCCTCTCTCAAATACGGCAAACAGGAGCCGCAAAGTGGAAGGTACAATAGTTGTGAGTCTCCGCCCATTTGACTACTGTGGAATAATCTCCCATTTGGGCAGGTGGTGCAAATAAGAGACTCTCGGTGCTGTAAACTGCAGATGTTTTGAAAATAGGAACTTATAGAGAATGCATAGAGTTTGAAAAATGAGTCTCGTTAAAAAAATTCAAAAATCGAGATTTCCAAGTCATGATGTAGGGTGGGAAATGGAAGAGATTATTCACAAACAAAGTCCACGCTGACCGTGTGGGAGGAGTCAGGCCCACCAATTGCCCTTCTGATTCTTCAACGGTGCGCCTCTTACCTTCAGTACAGACAGGGTAAGGGCAGCACAATCGAAAAGAAGAGCACAACAATAGACCCGACTCTGCCTATATGCTCAGCATGAACTCTGTCATCGAGCGCTCAAGTTCCGGAAG